GATAACATACCCGAGTCCGCGTGATATGACATGACATAAGATCGCCCCATGTGGCCTTAAAACATGTTTTAACCAAGCAAAACACGTCATGTAAAGCATCCACCCCCACGAAAGAGGGTGACGGCTCTTCCCAATTGCCTCAAAAAAGAGAGCAAAGCGAGGATATCACACCGGATACATATTCATGATGAATTAACTAGGCGAGACAATTAAAGCCGCACTATACACACGAAACACGGGATATATAGACACGCGAATAATGTGATAATATACCCGTCCTTTGGAATACAGTCAAGCAAGAAATCGCCCCAAGATTAATTCAGACATGCCTTGACCAAGAAAAACACGTCTTGTGAAGCGTCCACTCCCACGAAGGAGAGTGGCGGCTCTTCCTAATTACCTCACTAAGGAGAACAAAGCAGGGATGCGATATGCAGTATAATGTATTAATAGTGAATTCATGAAGAGGCGATGAAAATTTACCTGTGTAACTGAAAGGCGCCGGCTCAGGCGACTGAGTCGCCGAACGGCCCCTCGGGACACGTGATCTCTTTGGCGAGATGACTAATCTGCAAAGAAAATCAATGATTCAGTTATGTCGAGAAATGAATATAAAAAGACCAGGCAACAAATCAAGCCAAATATCTCGGGGTTTTGGTTCAAGACATGAACGTGGCCAAACAAGAAGCACAACGTGCCTACAATCATGCTATCGTGTGAACTAAAAGCCCGATATGGCAGTTAACATGCAGGGTTTCAGATTCAAATTACGTAACTGTTCGTGATGAAAATCGAGGCCCAGGAATTTTAGTCACATCCAAATACAAAACTAAGGATTCGGTTCATATGAGATCAGTTCTCATGCACGATTACACGTGCGAAATGAGAAGGTAGCAGCCAAGGCAGATCATCTCTCAGACTCAAGAACACGGCGTTTGTATAGGGTCAAGTTAAATACCTCACATACACCTAACCAAGTCGAACATGGGGATTTAAGGGGGTTACAACCAGAATTTATCCTTTACCAAATTAATGCATACAAGGGTTTTACCCATGCACAAATTCAGGAGTTGAGAGCCACGATATTTTCCACAAATTGAGAACTCAATTTCCACTCAATCCAACGAGTCCTAACCAAGTTCAAACAATCCAAGGACTTGGACTCGATTGAAATGCAAAGTATACACAATCAAACAGTTCAAGATTACAGCGTCGACGAAAGTCCAAAATTAAGGAGTTTGATTTGATCTACATGCAACCAAGATTTTGAGGCTTCGACCAAATTAGGGTTTCGGCTATACCCTTAAACTAGCTCGACTCATGAATGATGAAGCTTACCAAGAACTGTAAGAAGAACTGAGCTCGGGAGAAGGAGAAGTGCTGAACCCAAACCCTCGAACCCAAAGAAGGGGGAAGAGACCGAAACCCTATGAGAGAATTGGGAGAATTTATGACCAAAATCAAATCAAATCGAGAAAGAAAATAGAAATTAGGGATATGGGGTTTAATTACTACCTGAACTTGACGAAGAATAGGCTCGGTGGGGAGGAATTGATGAAGTACTCGAGCTTGAGACTATCCAAAACCCTAGCCCTCAATATTAAATCCGCTGAGATCAAAGGGATTCGAAGACAAGATTCAAAGAGACAAATGGTAAGGCGGATTGAGAAAGTGTTTGAAATGAGTTCTTGAGGAAATAGCTCGGAGAAAAAATTTGAAACGACGAAGAAGAGAAGAAGATGAAGAAGTCGGGGTTTAAAGGGCCTTGAACCGAACCAAACCCAGTTCGAAACGCCTGAACCAAGTCAAGTCGGACCGAACAAGACCCAAACCCCATTTTGCTACACGCTTCGCTGACTCCACACGTGCGAAGTCACTATTACTGGCTCACGTGCGAGCCACCACTTGCTGGCTCACACGCATGCGAGCCACCACTTGCTGGCTCGCATGTGTGGTGAGCTGTTTGGCCAATTTACAGGTATTTTGACCCGTTTTCGAGCATTTTTCGACATGTTTGACACCCGTGTTCCTACTCCAATGGGTATACGAGTCTAAACTATTTCTCACCCTTGACGGGAAGTTTCTGGAGAATATCACTCAAAATATTCTTAAGGATAACCCGACAACCTCCGACAGGTATATGAGACTAAACTAATTCCCGAAACTCCCAAGAGTAGACGAGTATAAACTGGTCCTCTCAGCTCTAACGCCTTAAGAGTTTAAACTATGTAGACTCCAGTTTACATATGAGTAGGAACTGTGTTCACGCCAGTCAACGCGTCGATAGCCTCGCCAAAATAAGGCTAAGGAAAATTTTGGGTTAAGGGACGATTCTAAGGAGTTCAATCACATTCAGATATGAATTCCCGACGAAGATGATAGTTCAAAGTCAACTCAATGATACAAACTAAGTTCAGAAACTTACACACAAATTTCAGTTCAAGATTTCAACAACGGTCAGTTGATAAACACAGTGCCGGAAGAACTTTATCTACTTGACAAAATACTGAGTGGATTGAAGACTGAATAAATCAAGAGCTAAAGCCAATTACAGGTCCTGTCACACCGATTGAAGGTTGGGCCTATCACATCCAACGTATTTCAAACTCTTCTATAAAAGAAACGAGACTGAAACACTTTGGATGAGGTATCTGTAGGCTTTAAAAATTGCTTATAGGTCCCCGAACACGGTTCAAAATGGAGAGAAGACGATGAATGTCATTATCCGAATTAAAGAAGATTATCCGACGCCGATAAACGTATAAAGCAAAGCGCACAAGTCAACGAAGTGACAAAACACGTGTAAAGGGGGAACCAAGCGGAACAAAGGAGATACAAATAGCTAAAATGGTCAAAAATACACGACAACAGGCCAGGAGGCTCGTACCCATGCGAGCCACCACGATTATTTTGGCCTCCCAAACCTCCCAAAACGCGAATTTCGATGTTTTAAGGATTCTTTCGTTCCAGGAACTCCCTAACTATTTTGAAGCTATTCCTATGTGCGGTTGAGCGGTTATCAACTGCAGATGACGTCAAAACACTTAATCTTATCAGAAAACACAACGACAAAAGCCTATAAATAGAAGCTCAGGGTCTTCATTGGAGATCATCTGAAATCTGAGGGCGAGGTGCTGCCAAATTGAGCAGTAAACCACGAACTTTAGAGGAGAATTGGCAGATCTTGTTGAACTTTTTCATAAAGAAAAAGCCTTCAAAAGATTTGAGATTCTCTCTCCCTCTTTCCTTCGGATCAAACTTTGTTTTGATCTCGAGAAGAGCCACAATCTCGCTTGGTCGTGATTATCATTACTGCAATTGTTTCCTTCGTGAAACAAGAGCATAATTAAACTTGTCAATCGGATCTGATCCACGACGGTCCACGGACTAACGTGTCCCCGGCACAGGCAAAGATCCAACGCAAAATAACAGGAGATAAACTACTGCTACGTTTTGTTGGATAAAGTTCTAATCTTTAATTTTCATTGTAAGAAGATCTTATAAAAAGATCAACTTTTCTTTTAGTTTGAACTTGTAATCGATGAACGGTGTAACAGGTTTGACAACAATGAAAACGACAACTTTTGACGAAAACAGAACACGAAATAGAACTAACATGAATACTAATTAGACCTAACATGAGTTAGAACTAACACGAACACGAAATAGAACTAACATAAACTCTAATTAGACCTAACATGAACTTTTATTAGACCTAACATGAAATTAGACTTAACACGAACTTTTATTACACCCAACACAAACTTTTATTAGACCTAACATGAAATTAGACTTAAACCGAACGTTTATTAGACTTAACACGAACGTTTATTAGACCTAACACGAAATTTTAAGTCTAATTGATGTTAATGCTAGCTCTATTTCGTGTTCATGTTAGTTCTAACTTAGTTCGTATTAGTTCTATTTCGTGTTCGTGTTAGTTCTAATTCATGAATTAGAACTAACACGAACTGAGTTGGAACTAACACAAACACGAAATAGAACTAAAATGAACAACAATTAGACCTAACATGAGTTAGAACTAACACGAACAGGAAATAGAACTAACATGAACTCCAATTAGACCTAACATGAACTTTTATTAGACCTAATATGAAATTAGACTTAACACAAATTTTTATTAGACCTAACATGAAATTAGACTTAACAGGAACGTTTATTAGACCTAACACAAAATTTTAAGTCTAATTTTAATTATGATAAATTCCTTTTATGTCTAATTTAAATCATGTTAAGTCTAATTCAACTTTTTTTAAGTCTAATTTCATGTTAAGTCCAATTAAATTAGACTTAAAACAAGCTAAATTAGACATAACATAATTTAAATTAGACTTAAAATAAATTAAATTAGGCTTAATATGAATTAAATTGGACTTAAAAAGAAATTAGACTTAAAACAAGTTAAAGTAGACTTAACATGAATTAAATTAGACTTGAAACAAGTTGAATTAAACATAAACAAATTTAAATTAAACTTAAAATAAATTAAATTAGACTTAACATGAAAAAATAGAGTAGATAAGTGCATTTTAAGATTTTAAACTTTTTATTCTCTTTATGTTTAGCTAGCTGGTAATAATTGCTAAAAGAGGATCACAACACAAAATGTCACATTTCTTGGGGCTAAACCACATGGGAAAAAAATGAAAGGGCTACAACACATAAAGATATTATTTTTTGAGGCATTAACATAATTTTCCCTAAAATTTTAGGAAAAAAAAAGCACGAATGACTCGCACAAACAAAAAGGGCCGAAGTAGGCCTATGCCTACATACCAAAAGTGGTAATTTCTATGTCCTCAGGATAGAACTGTTTATCGTACAGCACTAATTTCCCTCAAAAACACGCGTCAGCAGTCAGGGCAGTTGAATGATTAAAATGACCTCGGTCACTACTTCGATTCATACAGCAAGTGGGAAACGTGCTCCTCCTTTTATCAAATTAGATTAGAAAGGTGGGGGGGGGCGTGAAAAAAAAAGGGAAAAGAAGAAAGAAAAGAGTACTCCCAGATTCGGTCGGCGTTTGTACTTCAACAAAAACTCCGGAGAGTAAATTCATCTGATATTTCCTATTATTGGATTGGATACCCGCTTAATAATCTTAAACAAATACTCATACACTTTCTAGCTTTGAGATCTGAAAGAGGAAGAAACGCCACCTACCGAGAAAAAAAAGTTTCAGGTGCAGTTCTTATCCTTCCATCTTCTACATTAATTTCCTTCACTTGTAGATCTAAAACAAACGTTACCGATCGAATCGATCGGCTTGTTCTTGAGTTAGTATGGGGAGAGGGAAGATCGTTATTCAACGAATCGACAACTCGACGAGCAGACAAGTGACCTTCTCTAAGAGGAGGAACGGACTGCTGAAAAAGGCCAAGGAGCTGGCGATACTTTGCGATGCTGAAGTTGGGCTCATGATCTTCTCCAGTACCGGCAGGCTCTTTGATTTTGCTAGCACCAGGTTAATAATCACGGCCCCTAATTCTATTTTGTTTTCTATATATTTTTTTTTCCAATTCTGTCATGTGAAAATATTTCTGTTGATAGTAGACCTATTATATATGTTTTCATGGGAAACTAATCACATTTCTAATCCATTTTTTTCCATTAATCATCTCTGTTGCATACATGATTATGTATACATTATATTCATTATGTCCTGATCATTTTACATAAAAGGAAACGTATCCATTTCGAGAAGAACTCGTCTATTCAAGAGGGATTCATACATATAATCACCTGACATTCAAAAATGAGAGAGAGAGAGAGAGAGAGAGAGAGAGAGAGAGAGAGAGATTATTCTTGTGCGTATCTCGTTCATAATGAACAAGAGGGTAATACATCATACACATATAAACATTATAGAACAATTACACAAAATCCTATAGGATTAAAAAAAAAATCTAAAAACAAAAAGAAATCTCTAGTCAGAAAAGGAAATAAAGCAACATATGATAAGAAAAGTCCTCAAGAAAAAGTCTTCAATAAATAAAATCCTAAAAAAGAAGATATTATGTTTAACATCCCAAACAGATGGTGGATGAACTACTAAGAGCATGGATAATAATTAAGCATCAAAATAAATTAAAAATGTTCAGTCGTAAAAAAAAAAAAAGTTTCGACGTCGTTTGAAACGGGCAATGAAGAATCATTCATAACCGCGACAAACCTACACAGAACAAAATTGAAAAGTTAAGCGAGACTACAAAGAAACCAAAAGAAAACGGAGTTGATCAGTAACAAAAGGGTACAAAGCCTAGAGAGCAAAAGAGAGCTGGGTTGAGGATCCGAATGGGAAACGAGTTGAAAGTGTTAGGATTAGCCTTTTATTTCACCCCATGGGACAAAGGAGCAGTCAAAAGCGAAGAAAAAGAGAAAGTGGTGAAGAGTCCAGCTGTGCACCGCATGGTCGAACCAGTCGGGTGGGCTTTGGCAACGCACCAGTCGGTCGGACCGCCGTCCAGACCTCCCTTTCAGGCTATTTAATAATTTTGGAATCCTATTCGCGTTAGAATTCTTATTCGCTATTATATTCAATCTTACCCTCATTAATACAGCTCTTTTAAGTCTAGGGCTGTAATGAAGATCTTTTGATGACACTGAGAGAGTTTCTTGTGCATTCCTGGAGAAATGCAACAAAGAACAAATCTCGTACAATCTTTGGAATAAAAGGACTCAAACCTCTACCCATGAACGTATGCAACTGCTAAACCATGTAAATCTCGAGTCTTACATCTGGATTACTTTTCATGTCTTTTTTTTTTTTTTCCTGTTTGTTTCCATTTTTTTCCTTGATATTTCCTTATTCCGAGTTAATCAACTGCACTAGTAAGACAAAGATGATCTAATTAAGAGAAATGGACGTAGCTTACATGTTAATTTCTAATACAACGATTGATATCAATTTTAGATCAATTAGCACTAGATTCTACTTTAGAAAGGAATCGTTCTAGCAGCATGTCAAATGGAGGATGTTCGATAGAGGAGCTCATGTTTGAGAAGTTAAATGGCAAATGAGAATTTGGACTTTAGTAGAAAAGAATGTCGGCTTTGTTGATTCAACACGATTTAGATCTTGCATTATCAGAAGTTGGCAAGAAGCTGGAGAAGATGAAATATGACGATTGGGTGAAGATGGATTGAAAGCCGTACAGTTGGGTTCTACTCTCTTTATTTGGCAAAAGTGATGTACAATGTGATTATGGAGGTGACAGTCCTCGGGTTATGAAATAAATTCAAATCTATACACATTGCCAAAAGTCTATCATTCAACTTGCATTGGAAATTTGGGGTTGCAAGGCTTGCACATGAAGGATGGTACAATGGTGTTAGGTCACCTGAGCAACTTCAAGTGGATTGTATTGAGTTAGTAGCGACGGGGTCAAGTCTTAAAGATGTGGATAAGCTGATGATTCTTCTTTGCTCTTTTTATTGAAGCAGGGAACATCTAATTATATCATTGTGTTGAGCGTTGCGGAAGACAAACAACCAAACCAATGTGCTACGAGAAATCAAATCAAACGAACGTCGAGAGAAGGCCAAACGAACCAAATCAATGCCACAAACACAAACAACCAATTTTAACGTGGTTCGGCAAGTTGCCTACGTCCACGCGGCAAGAAGATGATAGGGTTTTTCATTAATAGAGAAGAAGAGTACAAACTGCGATTACAAATCACTCAAACTCACCAATTAATCTCACCAACAAATCTCTAATTCTCTCCAAACAAAACCCTAACCAATAGCTCATAAAATATCTTTTTTCTGTGCTCTAAATATCCCCAATTTTTTTCTCAATTCTCTCTTCCAATTGTTCCATATATATGGAAATCCTAAAATCATAAACATACTAGGAATTCTAAAACAAAAAACAAAACAGATTAGGAATCCTAATAACCTGTTACCAAAACAGATTTGGAATCATGTTACCAAAATAAATTAGGAATCCCAATAACCTGTTACCAAAACAAATTAGGAAACATATTAGGAACTTGCTATCCAACAATCCTCCACCTCGGTGAAGTTTTTTCAAAACTAAGCCGACATCAATACCAATCAAACATCTCACTTGTTGCGTCCAATACGAAGTGGAACAAATCCACAACAACGGACTCAATCCACAACAAGTCGAGAACCCAAACGAGAATGAGAGCAAACTCCAAATGACTGTATCAACTCACCAAACCGGCTGCATCATAAATGACTGCCTACGTATCCTCTTGCCCAAGGAATCAAGCAACTCACCAAACCGGCTGCATCATAAATGACTGCCTACGTATCCTCTTGCCCAAGGAATCAAGCCTTCATGTAGTTCACCCAAACGGCCTCCAAAGGCCCTCAATCAAATAGAAAAGTTTGCAACTCTTCACCAATATCACCAACGGATCTACAACTGATAGCGCTCCCAATGATACCAAATTGAAACAAATCAAACACCTCCACCTGAGATGAACCAATGGCCGTAACCAAATGCGAATTATGTCCACCAGCTGCACTTGAATCCACCAACTCATCATCTGCATCCAAATCCAAATGATCTCCAAACTGTGTCACCTCAGCTAGAATCCCAAACGATGCAATATGATCTGGAGTATGTGGAGTAATCTCCACCCAATGTGAAGTAGCATCACCCTCCACCCGTTGCGATATCTCAATGATCTGATCAACACTCTCCACCTGCCGAAAGTCAAATGTGACATACCTTCTCAGAACAAAATCAGAAGCTCCTAACTGATAATCAAACGAACCTCTGAATCCCAAACGTGCAATCGGATCAAATCTCACATCCTCAATGTGACCAAATACTGGACAACCAAATATCCAATGCAACCCAAAATCTGAAACAGCTCCATCAGATCCAAAATCTCCACACACAGCAGTCGACAACCTATGACTAAGATGACCCAAATATGTCGAAGCTCCAAAATCAAAACCAATGCTCGACAACCAACATTGATCCCCCTCCAGTAAGGAACGACCCATAAAAAATATCATCTTATCTCGTCGTACCAATGTCTCCACATCAATGAAGTATCTCAAACTGCCATGAGCTCGGCAAAAATGTAAGAAAGAACCCCTACCAAAGCTAGAACGACGGTTTACCTTTCTACCAATACATTTCTTCCAATTGTTGTTGACTTCTAGGACTTCACACCAACGTGACCTGGTTGCAACTCACTAATACCTAGAACAATCCCCAACTGCGAAAACCAAATACCGATTACCTCCTAATGATGACTCCTTGAAAGGCCCCCAAATGCCTAACTGAACACCACCTAAAAGATCCCTCGATCGATGGATAGAAGTGTCAAACTCTACCTCGGTCTTCTTGCTCATACCAATGTGCTCAAAGGACTTCAATCTACAGGTCAAAGCACTCCTCAACAAACCATGCACGACATAACCAATCAAATAACCCAGCCTCAACAAATACCACAGTCTAGCCAAATCCAAAGAAGTCGTCATCTCTGTATCAAACACCGTGCTCCCAATCAAATAATATAAATTATTCCTCCTGACGCCCGTCATCACAATCATGGACCCTAATGTAACCTTCAAACGTGGATCGACCAAGGTCACCCTATAGCCTGCTGCCTTCAAAACTCCAAGTGAAATAATATTTTTCTTCAACTGAGGAACAAACCTTACTCCAACCAACTCCCGAATCACTTCGTCACTCATCCTAATCCAAACGGTACCGATACCACCAATAGGACATTCATGATCATTACCCATGAGCACGACCTACCCTCTTTCCAACTCCTAAAAGCTGGAGAACAAATCCCTCCTAGGGAAAATATGATAAGAAGCACCCGAATTTAACATCCACTCTGTAGAATCGGCAACACAAACTGACGGTAGTGCAGATAACGAGTAGCCCGAATAATCCGAATCTGAATTATTGCCACTAACATTGACAACATTCACCTCTGAAGATTGAAAAGCTTTCCCCTTATTCTTCCCGGCTCGATCAACCAACTTTGGGAATTCGACTTTTCAATATCCATCCTCTTTACAAAAGACACACTGATTCCTACGAACTCTAAGATGTACCCCTCTAGACTGTAACCTCCTATCACGGTTTGGACTCTTTGCTCTTGCGACCAATGCCCCCGTTACCGGCTCAACTGAAGTCTCTTTATTCTTCTTTCGAAGCTGATAATTCACAAGTACAGTGATGACCTCACTATAAGAAAGAGATGTCTTCCCATTAATAAGAATAAGAACGAATGTCTCATATTCCTCGTCAGACAAGGAACTCAACAACAACAACGCATTGTCCTCATCTTCAATCATCACATCTACATTCGCCAAATCCGCAAAAAGCTTCGTGTAGTGGTTTAGTGATCACCTATGGAGGTCCCCTTCTTCAATTAAAAGCGATAAAGCCTCCTCTTCAAATACAAGCGGTTCTTTACACTTTTGGTCAAATACTTGCCCTCTAGGATCTCCCAAATCTTC